TAATTAGTGATATTTTTGCAAATGACACACTAAATTAGTATTTTTGCAAAGTGGCACACCAAAAATGACATTTTTGCAATTGTCCTGTTTGAATAAGACTTCTTATAGTACATCTTGGTTTTAATTAAACTAGAACACTAACCATATTCAATTACAATCATTTTAAAGAAAATAAATTTAATTCATTAGAACCAACTAAATTAAATATGTTCAAACTAAACATTTTAAAACAAAAAGAGAAAAGAAAACAAATTTAATTGACTAGAGAGTCTTTCGATATCAAACTAAAACCATTGGTTAAACTGTGTCTCTTGCTCATCATTTCTTCGTACTTCCCGGCCAATGAGTCAAAGAGAATCCCAGCGCCAACTCCAACCGCGAGATCGATCGTGTAGTGTCCTCTTGTCCCGAGCAGCCTGATCGATTGTAATACATTGAGGATGTCAAAAACCATCGCAAGTCTAAACCTCTGCATTCTCCTCATGTCCAAAGATGCGATCATCGAACCGGCTACATGACCTGAGTAGAAAAGGAAGAACGAGACGTTTCCCACAGGAAAATCGACTCCTGATCCTAGAAACTCCTGTAAAACAGAGTCAAATATTTACATTCAATAATTTGTTTCCTCGAATATATAAAGCATAACAAGACTACACATATAAATTCATGTTTTTGAGAAACAAAAAGGACATAAATTCATGTTTTTGACAAACAAAAAAGACATAAAATTCATGTATTGATGTTACATCAACACGAGAAAGCAAAAGAGAAAAATGAGTGGCTAGTTCCACAGAACGGAAATGAGTGAGAATCTCTGTGATTCATGTCCAGTCAATCAACTCGTGGAACACTATGTCGAAAGATGACAAAAAAGTTCGGTAACTAACGAAAACAAAATAGTGATGCCTAATTTTGATGATGATAATTACCCTCCCTATGATGATAAATTGATAATCAAATACTCCCTCCATTTCAAAATAAATACTATCAATTTTTATACAATTTTTTCTGCAGAATAAGTCATGTTTAGAATTTCATCAGATGTTGACATGATAATATGTAATTTAATCTTATTAAAAAATTAATAAGAAAATAAAAAACAAAATATATATTCAATAATCAATTGTTTTGTGAGATAATAGTTTTTAATCAAAGTCTATATTATCAAAATAATTGGAGACTATAAACTTTTTAATCAAAGTCTAGATTATCAAAATAATTGGAGACTATATAAAAAAAAAAATTCTTTACTAACAACATGCGGAATTAAACACGAGCGGTGACACAATGAAAACATTAACACAAACCAATAGAATACACGTTATGGTCTTATTTATTGTCTTTCTATACAATAGTGGCCAAATATTTGGAGTATAATTTGGTTGAACATCTAGTCTAGACTCTAGACTATTTTTCAAAGGAAAGTTAAATATATACTACAGTACTATAATATGTTTAATGTGTTGATTGGGTTTTAAAAAAAAAAAGAAAAGATATGTGTGGATTTGGAACCTGAGGGAGAGGGAGCTGAGTGGAGTAACCGAGAATGCCGCGACACGTGAACATAAAGCAAGCCGAGATGGTTGCTCGTGGTCTTCCTTCCATGAACCATGCCCATACAATATACGTTGTTTGCATCGCTACGAACACCTGTCCCCACCACCACACATTTTTCCAAATATTTAAATTTCAAACTTTTAACCAATCTCTTTGTTTGCATGTGATCGTGTCTCCCACTCATCACCGTTTTATCCTTTTTAATTGGGTTTTAATTACACCTTTAAAAGTGTAAAAGCTAAAAGCGATCTACCACACCATCTTGCATGTATTATTACTACGTTATAAAGAAACAAAAAAAAAAAACAGTTGTTAAAAACAAGATTATAACACCTAAACAAAGAGATTACATTAAATACACTTTCTGTCCACTAATTATCAACTAAGACTATTATTTGTTCTCTTTGCCATTTTATCACTTTTAAGAATTACTATTTCATTGCATGTTAACATTGACAGCAATATTCCAGCTAGAGAATTAAATATAACAAAGGGAGGAAAAAAAAAAAAAAAGATAAGAGATTTGTTTCCATCATCACTATCACACATTTCTTATTTGACTAATTCAATACTATGTCATTATCAGGATTTAAATGAAAATAGTTATAAAAAAAAAGTTAGGTGAAGAAATGATGATAATCAGTAAGTTAACCCTAATTTAACTCGTACGACAATATTACCGTGTTTAGTGCGGCTAAAACGGTGTTAAGGTCGGGCGAATCTGCCAAGACGCGATGCAGAGAGCGCGTGGCCACAAAACCAATATCAAACGGCTGAGAACTCGGCGGAATCATCAGGAGCGTGTACTCCACGCCGGTGAAAAACAAAACTCCGACCGCGAACAAACAAGGTATCCAATGGTGTCTCGCCACGTACGCAACGTCACGCGCCGTCCAAGTCATAAACGACGCCGTTTTCAGCCCTTCTCCGTCGTCGCCGTCGGTTTTCTTGGCGATATTGTTCTTCTTCTCCATTTTGCTGTTTCCGTTAGTGTGGTTTCCGTTAAGAGAGTTGTTGTTAGATCTGCGACGGAGAGGGGTTGACATGACCGTTAGATTTAACGGAGAAGGACATTTCCCGGGTTTAGAGAGACGAAGAAGGGTTATTATATAAGAGAAAGGAGGCGGAGAAGTCGAAGAAAAAATTGCGTTTGGGCTACAAAATGCATACGAAAACGATGAATATGAGGTTAGAGAGCGACATTTTAGCTTATTTTACGCTAACCTTGTTTTTTATTTTTTCTCTTTGTTGGGCTTTACTTTGTGTACCGAGGCAAATCTACTTGCATTAAAGGAGTTGGCAAGTAATGCAATTTCCTTTTTTTTTGGGTCGAAATTGCTTAGATTCATTAAACCGGTGTTACAATCGGACCGGATCTATCCGGTCCGATTTGGCAAGACTATCAGCCATTGTGTTCTTGTCTCTTGAGATGAAAACAAAAGTTGAAACTTTGAAATCTAGAGCGATATAAAAAAAAAAAATACAATCTTGAAGGATGCCATAAATGTCCAGATGAGAGGTTCTCAAATTAATAAGGTTGACAAGCTGCTTGGAGTCACAAGCCACGGTCAGGTTTTTGAAACCCCGATCCGATGCTTGAATCAAAACCTCTTGGATTTCTGCGATACTCCTCTCGATCAGTGGGCTAGGATCGTATTGTTCGGGTTACGGATGATCCAGCCAAGCCCTGCTTCTCTGGTGTCAGATCTCCACGTCAATCCGAGTTCTGGTAAATTCGATTTATGTAGATGAAGTTTCTTTGGGGAGTGAAGTTTGTGCATTGAGCCATTCTTTTGCATCTTGGATCGCTTTAATCATTGTTTCTTCCTCTGAAAAGACTCGATTGTTGAATATTTTTTTTGTTTCGTGCTATCTGTGTTTGGTCACTCGCACACTAACTGTGTTTGGAGGATGTTAAGTCTGCTACAAGGTCCAAAATCTGGAGAGGCTTAAATTGATCTTTAAAGGGTGCCAATCTCCAAACCTGCCTTGCGAATTGACAATGGAAGAAGAGGTGGCAATTTCCTTTAAGAGACAAATATTGCCCCTCCCAAATTTTATTTTTGTCCATCAAGTTTTTAATCTCAAATTATTGTCGAAAGATAACTCTAATGGCTCTACTTCTATGAAATTTATTTATTTAAAGGCATTTAAACTTAATAACTTGATTTCCTAATGCTGGAGTTCCATATTCTTTATAAGTTTAATCTAAACTTCGGTTTACTCATATGATTTGTTTTCAATTTAACAATAGACATATAAAATTTTAGAGAAATTTAAAAAAATGCCACTTTTCAAGTGCCATTTTATAAAAATGTCACACTTTTGAAATCTTTACAAAAATACAATTTTTTCAAAATGATTTTTTCTTTATATTATTTATGTTTGGGTTAATTATGTTCTATTAGAGTTTAGTTTTGAGTGTTTAGGGGGTTTTAGACGTCAAAACATTTTTTAGGGTTTAGAATTTTAAGATATAAGCTTTATAAATCTATAATTAGTGGCATTTTTGTAAATGGACACCCCTAAATGGCATTCTTGCAAATGTGCACACAAAAAGTGGTATTTTTATAATTGAGATTATTAGATTCATCATTATATATGTTCTTAATTTAAAAATTATAATATGAATCATTTAAATATTAAATACGTTCTTAAAAACAGTTCTAAAATATCATATCGAATATGTATTTACAATAATTTTTTAACTCATTTACGTAAGTTGAGCTAATCCAATATGTTTTAAAAATTCAATAACCAAAAATATTATTTTTTTAGG